TATTCTCCCTTCCCCTCCCAAGGCTGCTGAAATCCCTTCTAAAATTCAACAGGTTATCAATGAGTTCAAAGACATCTTCCCTGCTGATCTTCCCTCTTCACTCCCTCCGAAGCGTGCCATCGATCACCGCATCATCTTGCAACCCGGTGCTGAACCTACCGTTCGCGCTACGTACCGGATGAGCGCTGCCGAGCTGAAAGAAGTTCAGAAGCAGTTGGAGGAGCTTCTTGAGAAGGGGTTTATCCATGTCAGCTCCTCTCCCTATGCAGCACCGATTCTCTTCGTCAAAAAGAAGGATGGCAGCATGCGCATGTGCGTTGACTACCGCGCGCTCAACAAAATCACCATCAAGAACCGTTACCCCTGCCGCGTGTGGAAGAACTCTTTGATCAACTTGGTGAGGCCACAATTTTCAGCAAGCTGGACTTGCGAAGTGGTTATCATCAAGTGCGTGTCGCTGATGAAGACATCGATAAAACTGCCTTCCGAACACGGTATGGGCATTTCGAGTTTCTCGTGCTTCCCTTCGGACTAACGAATGCCCCTGCCACCTTCATGTCCTTGATGCACAGTGTCTTTCGGGATTTCTTGGACCGGTTTGTCATCATCTTCATCGATGACATTTTGATTTATAGCAAGTCCTTGAAGGAACATGTCGAGCATCTAAGACAAGTCTTCACACGGCTTCGTGACCATCGTCTCTTCACCAAACAGAGCAAGTGTGAGTTTGCCAAGCCCTTGATTCCTTTCTTGGGCCACATCATCTCACACAACCAGCTTGCTATGGACCCTTCCAAAGTCAAAGCCATCAGGGAATGGAAGGAGCCAACCTCTATCAAGGAAGTGCAAGCCTTCCTTGGTCTTGCCAACTACTACCGCAAGTTCATTCGACACTTTGCTGCCATCACCTCTCCCCTATCCAACCTTCTTCGCAAAAGTGAACCATTTCATTGGGACTCTGACCAGCAAAGTGCCTTCAATGCTCTCAAGTGTGCACTAACCACTTCTCCTACTCTAGCCCTACCCAACCCCTCCCTTCCCTACGTGATATGGACAGATGCGTCTCAGGTTGCAACGGGTGCAATTCTTTGTCAAGATCAAGGGCATGGCCTTCAGCCTCTTGCCTTCGAGTCCCGGAAACTCAAACCTGCTGAGTGCAACTATGCTACTCACGAGCGCGAGGCGCTGGCCATCGTCCATGCAATCAAGAAGTGGCGCTGCTATGTTCACATGCGCTCCGTCACTGTCTTAACCGATCACTGCACCCTGCAACACCTGAAGACGCAGCCCCATCTCACCCCGAGGCAGGCCCGATGGATGGAGTACCTGGAGCAGTATGTACCGGAGCTGAAAATCAAATACCGCGCTGGCCGCCTCAACCCTGCTGATTCCTTGACCCGACCTCCTCAACCTCAGCTCACCACCATCGGAAGCGTCACATGGGACGAAAGCTTCATCATGAAGTTCACCAAAGGGTATCGTCGTGACCATTTCTATCTCTACTCTGCTGCTGTTGATAAATCTGTCTTCTACGAATCCCCCTTTTGGTATAAGGCAGATTCCCGAGTCATCTGCATCCCCGCAGAGCGCAAGCTTCGCCATCTCCTGCTACGCAAGCATCATGACCAGAATGGGCACTTCGGAGTGGACAAAACGCTTGCAGCCATCTCTTCCAACTTCTTCTGGCCCAAGCTCTCTCGAGACGTCCGCTCCTACGTTCGCAGCTGCCACACATGCCAGTGCAACAAGGCTCGCAACGCAGCACCCTATGGCCTCCTACACCCCTTGGAAATCCCTCAACTCCCATGGACTCATGTGACTCTCGATTTCATCACAGATCTGCCTTGCACCTCCTCCCATCACAACGCCATCCTCACCGTCGTGGACAAGCTGAGCAAGATGGCACACTTTCTCCCTACCTCCACCACAGCTACAGCTGAGAATGTCGCTGATCTCTTCTTCAAGGAAATAGTACGTCTCCATGGCATCCCTTCCGTACTAATCAGTGACCGTGATTCTCGGTTTGTTGGCAGATTTTGGCAATCCCTTTTCAACAGATTGGGCACCAAGATTCATCTCTCCACTGCCTATCATCCTCAGTCCGATGGGCAGACCAAGAGGATGAATCGAACCCTTGAAGATGCTCTGCGCGTATGCGTGAATGCACGGCAAAACGATTGGGACCAGCATCTGCCATCGATCGAACTCTCCTACAACAACACGGTGAACCTTGCCACAGGACAAACCCCATTATTCCTCGCTACAGGGCAGCAACCTCGCACACCGGCTTCTCTCGTATGCAGCAGCGACACCAAACCGGCAGCCGAATTCCTCTCTACTCGGGAAAAGACCATTGCAGCAGCACGCGCTTCCTTGCTCAAATCCCAACACCGAACGATCCGGTATGCCGATCAACACCGTCGTGACATTCAGTTCCACACAGGTGACCAAGTCTTCCTCTCTACCACAAACCTCCCCTTGCTGCAGAAAGGTCTCACCCGTAAACTTGCACCTCGTTTCATCGGCCCTTTCACCATCACCCAAGTTTTCTCTCCTCTCACCTACCGTTTGAAACTTCCACCACACATCAACATACACCCTGTTTTTCACGTTCAGCTGCTACGTCCTTACCACATTCCTCCAGCCCATTTCCCCCTCTTACCTCTGCCTCCTCGTCCTCCTATGTTCACATCTAACCCTGATCTCTTTGAAGTTGAGAAAATTCTGTCCCATGAAACCTCGCGGCACTTACTTCTTAGTTAAGTGGCGTGGGAAAGACTCTTCTCACAACCTTCGGATACCCGAGACAAGCCTTCAGAATGCCCAGAGAGCCCTTCAAAGCTACCTTGCATCTGCTCAAGCACCGAGGACGGTGCTTGCTGGAGAGGGGAGTAATGTAACAAGACGAAGGCGATCTCGCCTTCCTCGATTTCGCCAACTCAGCTCCTTGTGATCCGAACCAGAATTCGGAACACACCCTAAGTGCATTTTGGGAATTCAATGTTGGAACTCCAACATTGAAATGTGCGACCCGACTTTCTGAGTTTCCAACCGTGGGAACAAAGTACAGAGAGCACACTAGTGCTGGACACAATGGGGCAGAGAACTACCTACAGTGCAGCAGATTACTCGACAGCACAAGACCCTACAGCTATGACTACTTCCAGCAGTGCTCGTACTCATCATGATCAACGACGACTTGGAAGACAACAAGACAGAGAAATCTCTGCCCATTACATTAGCGTTTTCCTAGACTTTGCTGATTGGTTCTAGGACTAGACAACAAGGCTAGGAAGTTATGTACATAAGAATAAATGCTATGCCTTGCTGTTCCTAGCTCTAGGAATATGAAAGGCGACCTGAGCGACCTGCTCGAGGCGCCATAGCTAGTATCCTAGTATATTAGGATGTACCTCTGAAATGTAAGCCATCATATGATCTCTTGTAAAGCTATCCTGCTACTATCTTTCTGAAACTCTCCTAAGAGCACTTCCTACTACTATTACTCTGCCAAGACAGCTTAGTGACTGTTCCAGTAGTCCGAAACCAGCGACGAATGAGGGTGAGTAGAGGGAGTGCGGATTTGTACTCGGAGAGGTGATCGCAAGCGACGAGCGGAGAGCGAGAGGGTTGATGCGACAAGGCTGGGTGGAGGAGAAGCGACGCACTGGGAACTCATGCAGCGGGCAAGCATGGGTAGAACAAACTTGTGCGTTGTCGGTGTGCTGACTCCCAGGGGACCGAAGCTATTTCCGAGGCAGTGTCAAGCCTATGGCCGTGGCATCCGGGGACGTGACAGAGTGGTGCAGTCGGGTGACTTGCTCTTTCCAGACGGTGCGGTGGTCCATTCAGAGCCAACCTGCTGGCTAAGCGATTTTTTCTGGGAGGAGATGCGACGCGAAAGCGTTGTCATTTCTACCCCCGCTGACAGTGACGATCTGCGTGTGCGAAGGCAGAGACGGTTTGGGACTCGCAAGGGCACTAATCGTATGCAAACTCATTCGCGATGTTATTGGCAGACGTCACCGATATAATCGCGTCTGGTTACTCTTCGTGGATCGCCTAGTGCTTCGGTACGCGACAGGGCTCTGACTAGGTTTTTGGCCTGTCTGAAAAAAAAGTATGAAAAAAAAAAAAAAAAAAATCGTTTGAAGGAAATATGAGCAAGCTTGGGTGGTCTGACTTTCAGATGAAACATAAATACTTCGTCTGAAAGGTTGGACAAAAGATTTCCCGGTATATGAAAGTCGGCCGAACACACTGTGCAGCATCAGGAATTGAACCCTGGCACTTTCTACAACGAGCAACAAGAAAGGACTAAGCCAGATCAGGCGGAAATACCATGTCTACAATGTTGAACGTTGAATTTCAGATACTCCAGCTGCTAGGCGGCTTCGGGACTTGGTCTGTTTTAGACGAAAACAACTCGCTGTTTGAGTACTCAGACGAGTTATACCGGTAAGCCCTTGGTCTTATTTTTCAGATGAAAAAAATGATCTATCGTAGACATCACATGAGCATAAATTACTGGTCTGAAAATCATACCGTCAGACGAAATTCGTCTGATATCCAGAGCCCTGGTGCGTGTCTCTCCGAGCCCAGCATTCAGGGATAGAGGCGATAGACTCGAGAGATATGTCAGAATCTGTACTCCCTGTAGTGGGCTGGGCTTCTTTCTAACTGCAATTTGGTATTTTGGGGCCTAGTACTGTAATCTTATTATGCAAACACATAGCGAAACCCATCTACGGTAATCATGCAATATCCAGCATTACTTCGCACTTTCAAATAAAATGTTGAATCTGAAACGAAGTGACTGGCCATATTTACAAAATTGGTGGTAAGGTAACCCTCATCCTGGAAGGAATATTGCACTTCTAGGTTTTCCTTGCCCCTTTTATGTACCTGGGCCCATGCTTCAAAAGGAGGAAAGAGGGACAAATTGGGCCTCAAGTCAATTCCGTGGTCAGCCTTTGCGATGCTGCCTAAACCTGTCGACGCTATCCTTGCTTGTGCTTCTTGCACGAGGAACGAGGTACAAACGCAGGAAGAGAAGGTGGTTGGTGCGGAGAAGCATGAGAAGGAAGAGTCTTGATGCGGAACAGCAGGCCCTGCAGCACTGCCTGGGCTTCTGATAGCTGCCTGCGGTGTGTGGCCTGGGGAGCAGGTTGGGGGGAAGGGGGAGGGCGAGAAACAGATAAGAGGAAGAGAAGGCTGGTGAGGAGCAGAGTGAGGTGGATGGAACAGGAGGCCCTGGGCTTCTAAAAGCTGCCTGCGGTGCGTGCACTGGGGAGTGGGTGGGGGACAAAAGGGGCCGGAGGTGGGGATGGAGGTTGGAGCATGAAACACAGGCACATCATGTGGAGATTGCACACCAGACCATTGGGCGTTGCATCACAATGCATCTCATGCAAGCATGCATGCTCCCCTCCCCTCCCCTCCCTTCCCTTCCAAGCACACAGGTCCTTCCCAAGCCCCTCGTCCTCCTCACAGTGAGTGCACACAGGTCCTTCCCAAGCCCCTCGTCCTCCTCACAGTGAGTGCACACCAGCAGAATGCTCCAGGCTTTGCTTGGTCCCTTGGCAAGCGCGCGGTGTCATTGATTGGATTGGCACAGACGAGAAGCGTGGCTCAGCTCCATTCCCCATCAGAATATTCTCCTCCATGTGTCCATTACCACCCACTCTCATCCACACCCTCTCATCCATACCGCACTGCAGCCATCCTCACCGTACTGGACTCCAGGCCTCTCAAGGTGTGTGTGAACAGCAAAGCCTCCTGCCGCAGTGCTGCCAGCCTCGCCGCTGCATTGACAGGCGTCTGCCCCACCAGCTGCTGCCGCTGCTGCACCAAGTGCCGTGGCTCCCACACTTGTTGGGGGGCGTTCCCTGCTGCCCTGCAATGAAAGGGAGTGCGTGGGTGGGTGGGAGTAGATGAAGTGCTGTAAGCCTTGCCGCTGCATTGGCTGGCGTCTGCCCCAGCAGGTTTGCCGTTACAGCACCACGTGCCTTGCCTCCCACACTTGCTCTGGAGCATTTCCAACTGCTCTGTAAGGGAAGGGAGAGCGTGGATGGAAGGAAACAGGGTCAAGCCGCTGCTGCACCACGTGCCTTGACTCCTAAAACTCCTCGGAGGAGGAGGAGGAGGAGGAGGAGGAGGAGGAGGAGGAGGAGGAGGAGGAGGAGGAGGAGGAGGAGGTGGAGCAGAGCGCTTTCATAAAATCCTATGCTGCCTGTTTCAGCTTCATCGGTGCCCGTCCATGCGGATCACCTTTCATACCCCATGCACGACTTGAAACACGCACTCGCAAACCTTCTGACACTCCCTCTCACTTCCAAACAACCTGTCCATTCGCATGCCACATTCCCTCCACTCACACGATCCGCTCAAGCCGCCTCCTCATCTCCTGCACGTTCCCAGCCAGCGCGACTCTCACTTCCACTACCTCACAGCCCATGCACACGCCACACTCCCCCCACATGCCACCCTCCCCCCTTCCCAACTCACATGATCCGCTCAAGCCTCCTCGCCTCCTGCACGCTCCCAGCCAGCGCCGCTCGCACCCGCGCCCTCTCCTCCTCGCCCTCCCGGATGCGCCTTTCAAGCTCTGCCACGTGGCTCTGCTGCCGCATCATCTCCCTGCGATGCGCCTGGACCAGTCGATGCCTCTCCTTGTCGAATCTGGACAAGCAGCGGGATGGGATGGACGGAGCGGGGAAAGTGGCGGCGTTGAGCCAGGGATGCAAGGCTTGATGGGGGATGCAGGGACATGCTGCCGCGTCGACCCCCTTTAATGCGCCTGCCACAAACGCTGCTTCTCCTCAAATCTGCCTAGAAAGGAGGAGAGAGGCTGGGAGGAGGTGCGGTGGCAGGGTTTGAGAGGGAGAGACGGGTGGAGGAGGGGGTTGAGCACCAGGCGGGTCAAACCAATCGCCATTTCCCGCGGAAGCGCCTACACCAGTCATCACCTCCCTCCAATGCACCCGCATGGGCCATGCACTGCACTCACCAATATACATCACTTCATCACAGAGGCGCAATCATTGGACTCGTCCGTCTCGACTCGTCCGTCTCGCTCGCAACCTCGGACAGAAACACACCTGTCCTGAAACCGTCGCTTCCACGAAACTTCACTCGCCGCATCGCCACTCGCTCGAACCATCGGTTGGGACTTTCCTACCCCCGATGCCAACACGCGCGTCCCCACGCCTAGACACCGCGTTTCCTTGTCTCGAGAGTTCATCGCGTCTGCCGGCAAGGGTGCGTCGTCTAGAGCTTTCCGCTTGCTCCCTACAGATTGTACATCCCATACGCCCTCGCCGACCGACCCTTCTCCTCTGCCTGCTTGCGAATGCTCCCTCGCGCCTTGCACGCTCTCCGAACGGACACAACTGGGCCCAGATAGCACTTCACGTGCTGATTTTGACGGTTTCCCGGTGGATTCCGAGCCGCCCCAGTATTTATTCCACGCGGATTCCCATAACGCATCGCACGAACCGAGTCGCCGGAATCGGCGGGATGCTAACGCCACGCAGCAGAGATCGCGATAGCCGAGATTCCTCGCGACACCTAGGCGGAGAACTGTGAGCCAGAGATCGTCGGGTAGCGTGTTACCCGCTGACGTCATGGTGGCAGCTGATGCTAAGGCAGCGCGAATCGCGGTAAGGTGAGATAGGTTCCTTTGGCATACCTTGCTGGGGATGAAAAAAACCAGTGCGACTTCCATGCACAGTTCTTCCGTTATAATGTTACACTTGGTACATTGCAAACCCACTTTGACAGCTCGCTCTATAAAAGGACAAACAATAGCGGAGCATATGTGGCTTGGGTTGGGAGGGTTGCGGGGCTTGGCTTGCCATTGGTTGGCTGCACGATTTGCTTCCATGGACCAAAATTCTAACCAAGGGCGGTTTCGTGACTCGGAATGCACGTTTCAATGCGCGGCGCGGTCTCAACCTCCCAAACAACAGTGTTGCTGCGTGCGTGCTTGATCATCACAAACAAATGATGCGCGCACTTCCTCATCCTTCCCTTCTACCCCAACCCAACCCACCACTCACAAACTTCAACCAATCCGTCCCACGTGCCCTCACAACGTGTCTCCTGGCTGCTCTGGCCTACCTTTACTTGTATGCTTGTGGGAGCAGCTTCGGTGTGACAGCTTTCTTCCATCCCTCCTGCCTACGATAGCTGCATGTATCCAATAGCTGCTCGACGGAGTGTGCCGCAAGGCTGCACATGTCAAGGCCCTTACATTAGGTTTATGTCCCGCCGTGTAACGGTCATGAAAAACGTAGAATACTCACTCCTGTAGTGTTTTCACCTTGCAAAAGGTTCATCCACTTCTAGTACCAGTACGACTCGAAACCCGCCTGAAATATCACTCTCGTTGAGTTGTCGAGCAGCTCTCCCCTCGTCAATCGAGCCACCATGGCGGTGGGCTATCACCCCCGCATGGAAGCCCCCTCCGCTATTCCGCGGCCCAGCGGACTACCTACATTAAGGCACTCGAGTGCGGGCGCCGTCACGGCTGCCGGCCAACGGCACCGTCACGACGCTGGAACAGACGAGTGGCCGGCGGGGACCGCCATTCCTCTACCGGGAGACCCGGGGCCGTTTTTCCTGGGCGAGTGGCGGAAGAGCTCCGACGCGTATCAGCACGCTGTGGGCGCGGGGGAACCGCATAAGGCATGGGAGACGGAAAAAGCATGGGAGGCGCAAAAGGCGGTGGAGGCGCAAAAGGCGGTGGAGGCGCAAAAGGCGGAGGCGGCGCAAAAGGCAGCGGATCTGAAGCGGAGGGTGAAGGAGCTGGAGCGAGCTAGCCGCGAGCAGGATAGGGAACTCGCGTCGCTGAGATGCCAGGTGCGTTCTGCATGAGACTTTTGAGTCGACTAAAAAGAGATCCCAAGAGCATTCCTCGTGACTCGCGCTCTTGCAGAAGGTTTGCACCCAAGGCCGCCCTGAGAGTATGGTCAGGAATAACCGCAACGTACTGAAACAGCAAGTGCACGGGAGCGAGGGGGAAGGGTATAAAGCGGCGCGAATCTGATCGCTGTCGAGGTGCTCCATGCTCAACGGATCAGCCGCGGCATGCGGTGCTGTGGTGTTCGTGTATCTCGCCGCTACGCATGAGTGCCGGAAGCACACTCGGGATTGCGGCTTAATCCAAGCGTGGAATTTAGCCCAGCATATTCCTGTCTGCAGCGCCTTTAGGACACTGTTCTATCATCTTCTCGCCATCAGATATCCCGAGTGGCCGTTTACCCTCGGTACAAAGAGTTAGCTGCTTCTCTTTTCATGCATTTTTCGCCCCCGCGACTCCTTTCGAACAGAAAATTGCAGCAGAGCAGAGCCTGCGACGGGAAAAGGAAGCTTCCGCGTTGCTGCAGCAGATGTTGCAGCAGGAGCGGGAGACGAAGGCGGTGATGCTAGCGGCGCGAGAGGACGAGGCCGTCGAGATCGACGGCGAGAAACGCGCTCTGATTGCGCGGAGCAGGCAGCTGGCGGCGAGGGTGGAGCGAGCGGAGGAGCGAATGGAAGGGCTGGAGCAGGAGAAGGAGGCCGTTATCCTCGATCGCGACGCGATTGCTATGGAGTCGGAGTAAGTCAGCAGTCACGATCGATCCTAATAGGTGGAACAGTGCGCGCAGGTGCCCTGATGACCGTGAGAAGTTTGAGTTCATAATGCTTATTATCTGCTTCGCTACTATCGCTTACCTTTCCCTTCGTCGCTGTGCGTTCTCTTCTCATGGCAGGGTGTTGGTGGAGCGACTCGGGGAGGTGGAACAGACGGTGGAGATGCTTCGGCAGGAGAACGTGAATCTCGAGGCGGAGCTGCTGGCCGCACAGCGGTCGCGAGATACGTACTGGACGCACAGTATTTCACTGTACCAGGATAAAGCAAAGTAAGTTTGTTTTACTGTATACAAAAAGTGAAGGATGTCGATGTTGGTGCGACTTCGGCCATATTCTGTGCTGCATAATTCTCTGTAGATGCTCATCACTAATAACGATACTGTTTTTATTTGATACTCTACTCTTGACAGGCTGGAAGAGCAGTTAGCACAACTAAGCAGCATCAGCAGCAACCTTGCCAACTCAGGAGGCAGGACCAAGGCTGCAGCCACTGCGGGTAGGAAAAGCCAGACCCCCAACAGGGCAGGAGCAGGCGGACCAGCAGGAGCAGCAGCAGCAGCGGGTGGCGGGCGACGAAACTCCCTCCCATTTCCTAATCCACGCTCATCAGCAACCCCTTTTTCCTCCCTAGAGACCTTCACGTCCCCATTTGCACTCAACCCAACCACTCTCAACTCCGTCCCACAGCTGCTGAAGCAGCAGCTCGCGTTTGGCACAGTGTACGAGTGCCCACCGCTGCTCGCATCAGCATCCATGTCACAGCACGGTGGGCTCAACATGGTGCGAGCAGCCAGCGTCGCCAGTGGGGCCCTTTGTACTGCTAATGCTGCTGCTGGTGGTGGCGCATTCAGTGCACCAGGGGGGTTTGACTCAGCAGGCATGCGCAGGAGTGGGAGCTTCAATGCATGCCAGACATCGTCTTCCGCTCTCCTCACGCGCAGCCTCTCAAGCAACACGGCGGAGCACAGGGCACGGCAGGCCAGCAGCGGCATGCTGGCAGCGGCGGCAGCTAGTGGTGGCAGGAGTGAGATCTTGAATGGAGCTGCAGGCCTGGCTGCCGTGCATGAGGGCCCTGAATGACCCGGTCGCGCTGAATGGCCCTGAATGGCCCTGAATTAAGAAAAACTGATGTTAAGAAATAGGCACTGGATTTGTAGGCTTGTTCATGTTCATTTAACATGGTAAAGCGTTATGGGTGTCCACGCACGTGTGTGGTGGGAGAGCAAATGTATGGGAGACAGCAAGCAGAGCACAGCACATGCTTATGACAGCGGTGGTGTTTCTAGTGTGTAGCGTGCAAGCTCATGTGTGTGATGGGTCCTTACCTTATGCTTCAGAATAGCACATTTGACGGGAGTACCGGTATATGATAGCAAACGGTGCTGCGCTTGCCTTCAACGAAAAGGGTTCTGTTGGAACTTGGAGTCTTTTCCTTTGACGCTCAGCAGGCCCTCAGATTCGTTTTAGGGTACCCTGACGCCTCAGGGCAAATCCTAAAAAAATCTGAAAAACAGCCCTGATTTTTCAGGGCAAGCTCTCAGGAAGACCCTGATTCTTCAGGGCTGGGCATGTTCTTGTGAACATCCTGATTCCTGCAGGATGGTTTTTACTCCCCTAAAGTGTTTCATAACGTTTGTAATGCTGTGCTATGTTCATTAATTGATAGTAATACGGTAGATAGCAAAGGCTCTGGGGCGCTTAACAATGCCTTCAAATTATAGTCACTCCAATCCATTCTTGACATTGTCCTCCTTGTGCAAGAATCTACTGCTAACCTTCATCATCACTGTTGCTGCTGAATCCACTGCCCCTGCTGCTACTATCCCCATTATCGTCCTCCAGGTCTACCACCACCTTCTCCTTGCCCTTGCCACTCACAGACCTCCCCTGCTCCGGCCGCCTCTTCTTGCTGTTGCGCCACATGTCTACGACATCGTTCCAGTCGATGTCGTAGTCCAACAAGCTGAGGGTCGTGAGGGCTCAGGTTATCAGTGTAATTTACCCTTCTATACTGATTACAAGGGTGAAATTTTGGGTCTACACTGATGTGCTGGGGTTTTTTTTTTGTGAGTTAGTGTTACACTGATCTGTAAGTGTATCGACGCAGGCCACACTGATGCCTTGGGGTAAAATTTTCCTTAGCGAAGATTACACTGAAGAGCGTACGCCCCCCCTTTCCCCGAAATTTGTCAGATCGTGATTTCCGCTCATCACGCAAGTGCCGAGGATTCCTTCTGTGCAGTACGTGCGTTGGCCGCAGTCACGTGTCCGATTGGTCTGTTAGGAATGATTCCCTTGCCAGCACACCACGAAACCAAACATTGGCAGCAACTACAGTATTGATGCCTGCACTAGGTCTAACCACAAGACTTTGCGAACATTTGTCAGTGTTCGAAAAAAAACCACACTAATGATGGAGGGTAAAAGATTCAAAACCTGATGTTACACTGCTCTATCAGTGTAATGGAAAATTACACACTGCCCATAAGGGTTTTTGAAAAAACTACACTGCCAATCGTGAGTAGCCCAAATCCAAAATGAAGCCCTGGTCGTGAGGTCTCCCAGCTTTGCGTCGCAGATGCTCATCCTTTGCCACGACTTGATAAGATTCTGTCTGATGAAGCCCCGCTCACATTCAACCGTGCTCAATGGAAGGACGACCACCACAGCCCACAGTCGTACTAAGCTGGGGTAGCTTTTCTCCCAGTCTCCTGTCTTCATCATTGCCGCCATCCCCTCCTTGAATCCCCGTTCGCCGCATGGACTCCCCTGTAGAACAGGCACCAGGGTCTTCAGTTCCTTCTTAGCGGCCCACTTCTCCACCCCCCTGACACAAACCGAAGGCAGAGAAGCATAAATGAGGTAGTGACTTCAATATTCATGGATACAAAAGCACATCACATGCATAGGCAATAAAAACACTTTCTTCACAACCCTCCTGGAAGGATTTCACACATTTCTCTTGTGTGGAAGAGGCCAACCAGGGTTTCGAAGCAGTCGTTGCAGTGCTCGTCCCGAGCCGCTCTGGTGGGGGGGTATGTATCAGGCATGAAGAGCCTCACTCCGTTGAGGTTCTCCAGATCCTTTCACGCGGTATTGCAGAGAGCAGTTGGTTGACTTGGCATGAGCGCGGCAGACTTGGAGGCAGGATTCGAGATATCCTCCGCTCTTGCTGTGGCGTGGCAGGGTGTCTTCATGCAGCATGAAGTAGTTGGTCTTGGGCCTGTCTTCACTGTCAACCCCATCGACAGTGACCTCGCGGTCGGATGCGTGCTTGGAGAGGAAGGCAGGAAGCAGTCCTTGGGTCTTGTCACCGCCGAAGCTGATGCCGCCCTCGATATTCCTTGCTGGGATGATGACCATTGTTTGTCGTACGACTGGGTGCACCGATGTCATGTCCACCTGGTAAAGAAGGGTTATAACACATGCAAAACAAACAGCAAACAAGGTAAGTACAGAATTCACATGAATCGCGGTTCAGAATCAGCTCACACATGGCTTACCTCACGCTTCTAAAACTCGAGGTTCAGACTGTTGAGCAGAGCGAGCATGTCAGCAAGGTAGAAGAGGAATACATGGAATTTCATAGATGTAACGATGTGGTACATCTCCTCATCGTGCTCATGGAGGAATACGACGACAGCAGGGAAGACGCGCACTAGCCGTTGGATGACGTCACCTCGACTTAGCCATGTCACTGCACGGATGCCCTGGAGCCGGCCATGATGTGCCTGCCTTGCCCGATGTCGCGCCTGCTGATGCTCGACCCCGCTTTGACTGCAACCTCGGGCCTTGCAAGTACCAAATTCAGTCTGGTCCACCAAGAGGCACCGTCTGCGAGCGCACCAGTCACTCCACTCCGTGCTGCTTCTGCCAGCTCGACGACCTCTTCGGCGCCCACTTTGGGCCTACAACTTCCCTCCCGGACCAGGCAACGTTGCTAAACTTTGATATGGACATGTCTCAGATCAAGTATGCTAATGACTCTAGTGCTACTAGGTAATATTATTCGTCTGTGGCTAGACTAGGTTCTCTTGCCGTATCTAGTGTAGGATCCTCTACTGTTTCCTGCCCAAGTGCGTCCAGTGCCGACGCATCCCCCTCCTTCAATTTGGACTCCGGTGCGTCCCATTGCTTCTTCCGCTACCGCACCACCCTCTTGTTGCTTCCAACTTCTATCGCGGTCTACTTGGCCATCCCCCCCTCCTGGATTGGTGGTCATACACAATGATACTGTACTCCCATTCGCAGCACTCCCCCCTGGCTCCCCCACTGGTCCGCACATCCCCTCGTTCTCCAAGAACTTGGTGGGTGTCGGGCGTTTTCAGGACCTATACGGACGCCACCAGTGGGGCACCTCTTGCCACGTTCCCCCAAGACCATGCGTATGTTATTTTCAGGCTGCACGCTTCGTTCACCCATAATCCTGCGTCTGGTCACGTAGTTGTGTCGTGCTCGTATTGCACCACCGTCTAGGTTGCCCCACCCTCCCGCGTCTCCGTTACATGGCTCAGCATGGTCTTGTCTCTAGTCTCCTGTCGTCGCTCCCTGCTCTCCCTCCCTCGTCTGCACCGACGTGCACTCCTTGCGTCGATGGTAGGCGGAGCGCCGCCCCACATTCCTCCTCATTTCCTCACATATGTACGCCTCTTAAGACCCTGCGCATGGATGACTGGGGCACTGCCCCCGTCCGTGGGCCGCGCAGGGAGCGCTTTTTTTTTTTTGTCCTTCTGGACAAATATTCCCGCTACACCGCAGTGTTTTCCTTGGAGCGGAATGCCAACATGCCTGACATTCTCCTCTCGTAGCGGGTAGCTGTCCGCACCCAGTGAGCCCAGCCTGTTCTTTGCCTGCACTATGGAAGCCTGGAACGTGGGGTGCGCTTCCTGTGTCCGGCACCTTCGCCGCCTCCCCGCCTTCTCCATTGTCTCCACCTCAGCCGTTGCCATAGTCTTTGCCATTACTTGTGTCGTCCTTGTAGTCGCTCGCCGCAACAGCCGTTATTGTCGCTGCAGCCGGTCGTTGTAGACTCTAGGGGTGGTGCCGTTGGGCGTGCAGGTTTTGGGCTTGCTGCCGCTGTGGGTGATGACTCCGTGGGTGCTGGTTCTGGAGGTGATGACGTTGGGAGTGCTGGTTCCAGAGGTTCGGCCGCATGACAGTACTCGTACTGGGGGTGCTGCGGTTGCAGGGCGTCCGGCACTGCTGCTGCAGCCGTCGTTGTCACCGACGTCTGTGTCTGCATTTTGCATTCCTGGTCTTTCTTTAGGCTCGTCTGTTTATCACTTTGCCTTCTTGGTCTTTCTCCTGGCTCGAGTGGCAACCCAACAGCTCCTCCCCTACTGTCTCTCCTTGTCTACGGTCCCATGTTTCCATGTTCCCGCCCCCAGTCTCACTTCCAGCTGTCTTCCTCCGCATTCAAAGCTGTATCCTCCTCCGTCTCCTGACATGACTCCTTACTCCCACACTTGGTCCGTCCTCCCTCTCGTGCTCGTCCAGTGTCTCCTCGTCCTATTTTCCACCCCATGCTCCTCTGTTCTCTCGTCTCTTGTGCTCCGACACCCTCTGTTCTCTCGTTGTCTCCTCCGTCGTCTCTTGCTGACTCCTCTTTTCCTTTCTCTGACATTCTACGTGCTGCTCGCCTTGCGGTCTCCTGTGTACTTACCTCCCTCGGTACCGACCCCAATGCTCCTCGTCCGCCTGTCTCTGCTCTTGTCGTTGCTAACGCTGACTTTGCCTCCACCCGCCGCCTTGATTACGCCACTCAGTAGGCTCGTCCTTTGTCCATTGGGGGTGCTCCTGCCCTTGGCAGTGACGTCCTAGAGGACACGCAGTACGAGCTGGATTTTTTGGCGGCTGCTGCTCTTCATATCAGCGCCATGCTGCTAGCCCCTGAGGGTGACCCAGATCCTCATGACATTCCAACCCCTAGCACCTACGCTGAGGCGGTCTCGGGACCCTGGGCCTCTTAGTGGATAGCAGCCATGGACGTAGGGATGGCATCTTGGAGGTCCACACGCCCCTAGTCAATGCTGCTCCCCCTCTTGGGGCGAACATAGTCAAGGTGAATGACATGTGAATCT